TGTTTGCGACCATCAACTTTACCCACCTGATGGTTGTGAGGTCAACATTTTTAGATGTCAGGCCCCCAATCAGCAGTGATATGGGGCTATTGTCAAGGGCACCTACAATATTAAGAAAGACACAAACAGCTATTTATTTATCCTCCAGTGCTTTTTCAACCCTCTCTATAACACTGATCAGGTCTGTTTCCGTAGATTTTTCTCAGCGTTGAGCATGCTGATTGTAATGTATCGACCTGCTAGCTAGAGCTACATTCCCTATGTATCTATCTACAACCTTTTCTAATGGCTTAAGAAGAAAAGAAAAGAGCCTTAAGGACTTTGGTAAAGCATAGTCCTTTCTACCAGCCTTATGTATAAATAGAACTTCTACAATTGTCCATTGTTCTGGAATATATCCCCATGCAAAACTAGCTCTGAAGATTTTCACCAGACGATGAAGGAGGATATCGGTACCCTCTGTAGTTGGATGGAAATTATTCCATCCTCACGCTTGTCTTATATGGTTTGAAGGAGTCAACAGCCAGGTTTTTTTCTACACCAGTTTTCATCTTATTATCTTTGTAGCCCTACACTACTCATGACAAGGCCTTCGTAGGGCTCTGAAAGAGTTTAAGGCATAATTCTTAAGTATTGGACCAAGAGAAATGGGTTGAAGCTTGTAACTCCAATATTTCTATTTCACTAGCAGTGAAGTTACCATCGGGTTTTTTAAGAAACCTGATCTGATTAGGTTTAGCTTCCGATGGCATTTTGTGCAATGCGAGGCAAAGACTTGACTTCCTCAACGATGCTCTCTTGGTTTTCTATTTTTTTATTATGTTCCGTTAGGGCTGATCTATAAACATTCCATGCTTTGCTTTTTTAGCCCTATTAAATACTTTCCTGATCTTTTCCCTAAGTTTCTTTAGCTTAGTGTTACGCCAAAGAACTTTTCGTGTTGAGGTCTTGGATTTGATGGAACAGCTTTCCTCGAAGGATTCAAGGATACCTACGGTCAATGTCTCCGTCAATAACTCCAGACCTTCTACCGTTTTGTTTTGTTTTCAAATTCCTCCTTAGACTATCCTTTTAGACATTCCAGGAGGCGCTTTTGGATCCCTAAAGGCAACAGTTTCATAAGTTGGTGATGCTTCAATCACAAACTTAACGTGTTTTATGATAAGACATCGAGTTTTCACTTCTAATATGTCAGTCAGTTAGCCTCCTAGATATGTTACTGTTAGCAAACGTTATATCTAACACTTCTTGCCTATCACACGTTACAAAGGTTATTGTACACCCAAAGTTAAGGCTTACCAGGTGGTTGGAGATGAGAACGTCAACTCACCTCTTTGTTGATGTTAGTGCATCCCCAGGCTGTTTGGTGACCACTAAAATCACAACCAACAAGTTCGGCGTTGTGTTTTCGGTCGAACTCCGCCACTTGCTCTAAATAGATGGTAAGATCTGAGTTCTCTCCGGGAAGATAGGCTGAGTAAATAATGGCCTCTGTGCATCCCTCCAACCGCAACCAGGTCATCTTTGAAGTACTGTGGAACAGCTAAAAGTTCAATGTTTTTAGTGTAAATTATACAAGCTCTGGTTCTACTGTCTTTGGTATTAATTACCAGCAGCCGATAATCCCTAAACTTGACTATTAGCCATCCAAAATTATTCTTATAAGAGGGCGAGGTCATTGTTGTCCTCTGCAAAGCAAACCTTCACCACAACGGAAGCAAGTGCTGCGTGAAGATATTCCTGGAGGACCCTCGTCTTACCCTTGGGGTAAGCCATTTACAGTCATGGGGGGAACATACGGAGAGCCCACGCCGATGGTTCGTCCCGAGAAAAGGTTACGAGGCACCCATTCTCCTCGTCTCTACGGTTAAGAATTTTCTAGAGCTCGGTATGGAACAGCTCAACAGCACGGCCGACTCTTCTATGGAGTCAGTTTCGCTGCGGGGCAGATATAGGATACCCAGTTGAGGCGTAGGTAGTTTGAAGTCGAAGTATTGAGAGCTCTAACTCTAGCCAGGGATTCAGTTTTACAACTTCACCCACAATCCAATCCTGGTTTGCCTTATTCAGGTACGTTACGAGAATCTAATCTAGCTTGTGGGTGAAACCCGAAATTTTTGGTCCTGCTCTTGGCTGTGCCTCACGGGCTGTCTTAGCGATACCTAGGCTGCATTAAAAGTATTGGGAATGGAATATTTTCACTGTTCCTGTTATATTAAAATCTTTTTAAATTGAAAACTCCTTGGTTTTAAAAATCGAATACCATTTATTTATTTAAAAAAAGATTCTCGGTCTTGTCACAAGGTTTTGTCAAACTTGTTTAGTCGTTGAGAAAATGACTTTCGAAGTGGTTTAACACAAAAACACTGTGTTGACCGGATGATTTCTGCATTTGGTGATGAAGCTCCATCTAAAACCACAATTTATCGCTGGTTTGCTGAATTTCAACGTGGACGTGTCAAATTCAGTGATGATCCCCGTCAAGGTCGTCCAAAAACTGCAGTCACCCAAGAAAACGTTGATGCTGTGCGTAAGCTGATTGAGGAAGATCAACATGTTACATACCGCGAAATTCAGGCAACTTTAGACTTTGGCATGAGTCAAATACAAATAATCTTGCATGAACAATTAGGTGTAAAAAAGTTGTTTTTCCGATGGATACCGCATTCGCTCTGTGAAGAGCAAAAAGCGGCTCGCGTTACTTGGTGCGCCAGAACTCTCGAAATATTCCACGCAGGATCCTCAAATGCTGTATACAACATCGTATCAGGTGACGAATCCTGGATATATGCGTACGAACCCGAAACAAAAAACCAATCACGAGTTTGAGTGTTCGAAAATGAGTTAAAGCCAACAAAAATTGTTCGTTCACGGAGTGTTGCAAAAAAAATGTTGGCCACTTTTGTCTCCTAAACCGGCCATGTTACGACTATTCCTCTTGAGGGATAAAGAACGGTTAATGCAGAATGGTATGCTAGCATTTGTTTGCCACAGGTCGTTTCTGAACTCCGTAAAGAGAACTGCAACCGCCGCATCATCCCCCATCACGACAATGCGAGTTCTCACACCGCACACAGAACAAAAGAGTTTTTAGAGCAAGAAAACATAGTATTATTAGACCATCCACCGTACAGCCCCGACCTAAGCCCTAATTATTTCTATATTTTCCCTAAAATAAAGAATAAATTGCGTGGACAAAGATTTTCATCACCTTAAGAAGCTGTGGACGCCTACAAAACGGCCATTTTTGGAGACCCCAACTTCCGAATGGAATGATTGCTTCAATGATTGGTTCCATCGTATGGAAAAATGTGTCAAATTCCGCGGAGAATACTTCGAAAAGCAATAAATACATTTTTAAATAGTGATGTTGTGTCACTTCCTTGATTCCCGAAATTTTCAGTAGCCTGCATTAGTGCCCGGTGGATCGGCCGCATTTGCTCCACGCTCATAGGATACGAATTGCGAACTCCTACACGTGTGGCTACGACACTAAAGCTGAGCTTCTTTTCCTACGCTGCCAGTTTTACAGATTTCTCGGGCTGGTCTTTGGAAGACTCCTCCTCAGATCGACTGCGTTCTTTCGCCTTCGGAACCGGAGAGGTTTGGGCAAAGGAATCTCGTCCCAAGGCTTCTGGCACTGAGAGAGGGCCTATCTCAGCTACTATCAGCCTTCTGTACTTCATACGTGCCTAGCGAACTTTTTCTTGTCACTTCCCTCGAGTATGCAGCGTTTTCGACTGACTTTACACCAGCCACGCATCCATCGGCACAGTACGCTTAACATCCTGAATTGGGTAAGGATAGGAAAAAGGGAGTGGGATAAAAGAAAAGAAAAAGAGACTCTGCCGCCTGTTATTTTGTCTGTTTGAAACAGACAAAATAACAGGCGGCAACCACGTGAAGGAAGAACTCCTCAGACTTGCCCTGTGGAACAACACGACCCGCACTCTCCCCCAGAGCCATTAGCTAAATTGCTCACCAGACAGGAGAGTAGAATAGGTGTTAATCTGGTCCTACTGATAATTTCAAAATGTGAAAATTAGGAGTAGATTAACCCCTACCATTCAGTACGTAAACAGACGTCTGTCCTAAATGCATTTTGGGTTTGCTGTAAACCTGACTCAGGCCCAGCTAGTGGGAATGATGGTAGACGAGGGTACGGAAACATCCGAATTGGGCTTTTACAATTTTTCCACAACAAGTACGGCACCTCTTTTGTATAATGTGAAATATTTGACAGATTTAATGCCGGGGAAGTTAAATTGTAAAACTTAATGTTTCTTATTAAATATAGGTACACCTTATATTTGTGGGGTTAAAAATGCATAAGTTACGTAGAGATATTCCTAAATTAGAACATATGAATTTATAGGGCGTTAAAAATGTGCAAATAATTGAAGTATTGAAATCTAAAATTTTAATTTAAAAAGCAAATTTTGAAATATTATTATACTTAAGTATTAACACCTAGTAGTAGATTTCTTTGTTTTTGAATGAAGAATTTCAATAGAAAATAAATATAAGGTCGGTTTTCAATTGACTAAAAATTTGCTCTACTTAATGAACTTGATAAACTTAGGTTTAATAGAACCAGAGTAACCGACATAACCCAACGTATTAGTAAACTTAAGTGGCAATAGGCCGGCCATATTGCCCGAAGAACCGATAACCGATGGGGAAAAAGTTTCTCGAGTGGCAGCCTCGCACCGGCAGGGGAAGTATAGCGCGTCCCCCCACTAGACGGAGTGATGACTTGATAAGACATGCAGGAAGTCGATGGATGCAGGTGGCTTAGGACCGTGTTGTGTGGCATTTCTTGGGGGCTATTTTTAGCAGTGGACTTGCGAAGAGCTGTAATGATGATGACGATGATAAATGCAAAATAATTTTTCAAAAATGATCAAAAATGTTGCATTAAATTCACGCACATGCGGGAATATTTTCCTTTTTATATTTTTATTATTACGTTTAAAATTATTTATTACACTTATTTATAGATCAAATGAAGTAACTGTTTACAACAGTTGTACTAGTGATGCAAATCCATTAACAATGGCTCAGTTTGGCAGGCTTATTACTGAAGACAGCGTGAAACACAATTTCCGTAAGTTTGTCAAAAAACGATGATTAAAACAAATCTAAAGCATAATAAAACAATAAATTCATCACTATTTTCATTTTCATCATTTAACATTGTTTAATTTTTCAATATTTTCATTTGTGGCAATAAAAATATGTTTATTTGTTGGTTCTCCGATGAAAGAGATGTTCAAAAGGCAAATTGGTAGGTAGGACATTATTTTCATCATTCATAAATTCAGGTCATCAAAAGTTCACTACTTATACATAGGTTTACCAAATGATTGTCTCACAAACCGAGCATTTGCCATGATTTCCAAAGGCCTGCCAAGGCGGGTTAGCAACCTTGGTATAATATTATTATTATTGAGTTATTATTAAGAACATGCAGCTACCTAATTTCTATATCAGTTTCCCTCTCACTACATCTACGGGATGATGGTGTAGTATAGCAAAATATGTATCATTATTATGGTATACTAAGTATAATTTAGTAAGTGACAAATGATCTTAATATGGTACATTTGATGTTAAGTGGTTACTGTAGACCATAAACATGCAACCAACCTCAACAAAAGAAGGTTGCAAATGTGTTATCACTTGTGAGAACTGAAAGAGAATGCCTGTATATCTGTTACTATACTGGTTCTTCAGACGGAAATATAACAGTGTGCTTACTGTTATTTGGCTGCAAGCCGGGCAGTAAAGGAGTCGAGTAAAGGACCTGGGTGATAGATTCTCTTACACTTTCACTTATCTAAATAAAATCACTAATTATATATTGCTCAAACATTGCCTGGCGGTCATTAAAGTTGACAAGTAAAGGAAAAAGACACAAGATATGGGCCGCATCATCTCCAGACATTAACTTAAAATAATAAAAAATTCCGTTGCCAAACTGCCGACTAAATGCCTACTAAACTCGCAATTTTGGCAAAACATGAACTGAAAATACATGAACGGCCCATTGCCACTTCAGCTTACTTATCCGTTATTACAATTTTATTAATATGGTATTGCAAGTATTAGTAATTTATTTCTAATTTCAGATGAAATAATATGTCCAACATTGTTTTTTACACAGTCACAATGGTTGCTGAAATTTTTAACAATAATCATGCAAATAATACCATGTTTCATCGCTGATTGCTGGCTACGTTTAATGGGTAGGCCACCCAGGTACGTATTTAACGTTACCATTTAATTATTTTAATTTTTTTTAATAAAATAATAGTAACTCTAGAGCATACAGTTTTTTATAAGATATGGTTGACATACATCTATCCTCGATTACAAATCAAAATCCAGATGCGTTCAAATTCAAATTAGTTTATCTGCTAGAATAAATGTGTACAATAAAGTATGATGTTAAATCGGGCGTTGTCATCCTTATGAACTAAGATGAAATGCCTCGTTTCCGGTAAAAAGGTTCTCCGGTGCTCTACACTCACCATACGAAACACAACACCATTAAGCTACTGTTTTATACTAGTATTCTGTGAGAGCGTGGTCCTTCCCCGGTCGAGCCGAACCATTCGTGCTACAACTATAATACTAATGTAACTGCAGCATGACTCTGCCACGTATAAATCAGAAATCCTAGGTTAAATGTTATCAGATATAAGGGGGTTTGATTTTCAAGTGTTCAGCAGTCCGATCATTGTATGTTTTAGCAAATTTATTTGTACTCAGTTCGGAAGGTAACCATATTCCATATTATATATAAACAATATATACGTTTAGCGCTGTAATATTGGGACTATGTATGAAATTAAACTCACTGATTCAGTTTAATAACTCTCTCTTTATTGATTTGGAGGAGACTTTTACACAGTAATTGTGACGTAGGTACATAGGTAGACACATGAATGGTGTCTTTTTCTATAAATATAATATGATAATACTGAAGTAAATAGATATTATTTCTACTCCTTATATGGAGTCCACGTTGAGTGATGATATCATTTAATATTCCAGTTATATTGCTTTGTCCATATACTATACCATACTATACCATATAATACCTACAACACATCTCCTTCCCTATTCAAAAAAAATTAAAATTATGTATAGATTTTTAAATTTTAGACATATGACACGGAGTATAAAATACTAAAAATGTTCTTAAAACTATTCATCATTTTTATGATGTAATTATTATTGCTACTTGTATGTCTTACAATTGTAATGATAACTTATATAAAAAAAAATATTATAAATTCTCTATTCTTAACTTAACTCTATACTTACTATATAGTTGTGGGGAAATACTGCACCTCCCACTGACAAAAACATAAAAAATAAATTAGTAAATTTGTTTTTTTTACTTATAAAATCAATATAAAACTTAAGTCTAATTAAAATATAAATAACAAATGTCTAAATAGGTGCTTAGATTCTACGGATGTCTGGTACAAAAAAGAAATGAATACATTTTTTTTCTAAAACTTATAGTAATAGATATAAGAGTTATGTTTATTATGAATATAAATTACAAAATACCGTCTTTATATTATTATATATTATTTTTAGAAGTAAATTGCAAACATATGGAAGGTAGTAGTAGTAATATAGATATATAGTATACTATATGGTCAGGACGGGTAGCCAGATCCCCCTGTCCCATATTCACGTAGAGGTTACAATCTTGTATATGGTTTCGTAACAGCCTATTAATGCAATACGTTCACATATAGTCTTATAATGTTTGTTTTTCACAATAAAATTGTAGTGCGTTTTAACTCAGTCTCTCAGGTATTAAGACGTTTAGTCACTTAACTCATCTTGTCATTATATGTACGTCTTTTATAATCTGAACAATAATAATAATCTTCTCATTTTACTATATTGTTTTAACATTTCCATATTTCATTTTACTTCATATATTTACTTTATTCTTAGTTAACCATTATTTATTTTCCATTTTACTTTTCTGCATTTCAGCTACTCATTAAATATTTGTGTCATTTCTCTCACGTACACGGCTCGCGTACATACATGGTCTAGATATACCAATGTAATTTCATTCTATTCTTTACATTTATAGTATTTTAGCTGATATTATTCACTATTTAATTGTACCACAACTTTCACATACGAGGCCCGCGTACATACATGATCAATATTATGGATATTATTCATAAACAGTACATACTTGATTCTCATTTTCCTCATTAGCAATACAATAAAAGTTATTTCGCATTTAATCGTGGTCAAACAACCTTAAAAATTAATCGGTTATTAGGTTTTCCAAATTCTCAGCTGATCAGGCTGATTGTATGTGAATATGATAACCTCTGATAATTTTTCTTTATTTTACTACTATCTACACTATCTACACACTGTCAAAATTCTTTTTTTATAATAATTACATATTCCATATCTTAACCATAAATATTCGTACGCCTTTTACAAATGTATATCATATAGTCTTGTATAATATTTAGTTACATCATTGTCAGTCAGGTATTGGGGCTCACAATATGGGCACAACAAAATTTAAATCAATTAATTGTATACATTATGTAATGAGTTTCAAAATTGTATTAAACGAAGTAAATATTCCCATAATCCACGCTAGTTAGTACTATTTTAAAATAATAAATTATAATAGTTTAAATGCTTCAAAAGTTCAAACAATATAAAATCGAAATTAAATTACTACATTGCATATTAAAATTAACAGAATAAAGAAATAAGGGAACATATGTCATCATTATCATCATAACAAAATACAGATAAAAATATTTTTTTTTAAATTCCTTTGTTTTGTTTTAAATTCCAAAGTACGTATATGGAAACGTTTGTGATAACATTGGACTGTGATCACACGTGATTCACATGAATAAAAGTCAATATAAAATTGTCAAACCACATAAGTGCTTAAAATGTAACTTAATTTTTAATATTGTACATATTATGATTGCAATTTTTTTGAAAGAGTTATAAAAATATAATGAAAAATCAATTATATAAATAATTTTTTATCAAATATAAATAATTTCAACTTAATCATATTTCACATACAGAATATTTAATTATTAATTAAAAAAACATATTAAGCAAAAATAATATAAAAACAATCTCAAATTGATAAATAAAGTTGTAAATGGAGTTAAAATCACATAGGTGCAAAGTTACCTCATAATTTCTTCTTTGTTCTTTTGGCGCAATTTTCATATAATTCTGGGCTAAGCTTGCTAGACTACAACTGCTTCTTGCCTCTTTTATACTTTATTACCTAATATGCTGTATCTTGAAATTTTGGTATTTGATCAATTTATAAAAATAAATCCATATATTATTTTCCTCATTCTTCATTAGCTGTCTTCATAGTATACCACACATATTTTTTATTTTTCATTCAACTTATATAAAATGATTCTTGTGGCCTCTTCTCTTATAAGTTATTGCTTTTCTTGTCACATCCGTTAGTATGTCAATTCAATAATTGAAAATTTTTCTTTATATTATTTCGTTATTATTTATTATTTATTTAAATTATTTTCCCATTTTATTAAACAATTTTTGCAGACCGTGGCTGTGCGAGTGCATTGTCGCAGCACACCGCATGGCAGGGTCGCCACATTATGTTGGGACTATGTATAAAATTAAACTCACTAATACAGTTTAATAACTCTCCCCTTATTGATTTGGAGGAGAATTATATACAGTAATTGTGACGTAGGTATGTTAGTAGGTACGTGTTAGGGTTGTGTTACGTGGTTCCAGGTAGAGACACATGAATAGTGTTTTCTTCTATAAATATAATATGATAATACTGAACTAAATACTGAAATGATCGGAAATAAGAAAAACCACACGAAGTACTCTCCATTCAACTTAATGCACTTTTCCATTCGTGCAAACCAATCATTAAAACAGTAATTCCAGTCTGAAGTTGATGTTGACAAAATGGCTGATTTGTTTTTTCGCTTCCGCAGCTGCTTCGGGGTCTTCAAACCGTTGATCGCGTAATAAATATTTCATTCTAGAGAATGTAAAGAAATCGTTTGGGCTCAAGTCAGGACTATACGGAGGATGGCTCATCAGCTCAACGTTTTCCTGCTTCAAAAAATCATTTGTCTTCCGAGCCGTATGGGAGCTCGCATTATCGTGATGTAAGATGACGCGACGTTACGGGTTATTTTTTCGGAGTTCGGCTATCATTTCTGGCAAACAAACCGTGATATACCACTCACCGGTTAACTTTCTGCGTTTCTGTAAAGAAATTGTAGCAACATGTCCCTTTTTCGAGACAAACGTAGCGACTATTTTCTTTGACACGCTGCGGGAGCGAACCACTTTCTTTGGTTTGACCTCGTCTTCAAAGACCCAAACTGCTGAGTGATGTTTTCTTTCAGATTCGTATGAATAAAATCATCGTTCGTCACCTGAGACGATATTATAAACGGAATTTGACTTCCCTCCGTTGAAGCGTTGCAGAGTATTCCGGCACCAATCTACACGAGCTATCTTTTGCTCTTCGGACAAATTGTGAGAAACCCAGCGGGAAACTAGCTTTCTTACACACATCTCATTATGTAATATCGACTGAATTGCAGTCATTCCGATACTGATATTGGCCCGAATCTCCTCGTATGTCACATGACGGTCATCTAATATAATAGTTCGCACAGCTGCAATGTTTTGAGGCGTGACCGCCTCTCTTGGTCGACCTGCAGAAGAAACAGTGCTGAGCAACACACGACCGCGTCGGAACTCGGCATACCAGCGGTATATTGTCGTTTGACTCGGTGCTTCAACATCATAAATCGAAACAACTTCGCTGAGACATTAATCTTGAGATGAAACGCGACGATAATTATGATAAAGTATGACACAAAAATGTTCACGGGTGAGCTCCATTTCTGTTAACGACGTGTCAACTTTAAACCAACCAAAAAGTCAAATTGATTGTTGTGAAGGGTTGCAATGTTTAAGAAGATTGAAATTCCATCTGCTCATTGAACAGATTTTGACAATCGAAGTCTATCACAACTTTCTTTTTGACTTAAATGATATCGAAAGCCATAAAAATCATTGTACGAAAATTTTCTCGCATTAATTTCATGCTGACGTAACACGGACAATTTGCAATTTGTCGCCAAATTGAAAATTGTCGACTAATTAATAAAAGTACACGGTCGACCGAGCGTATTTTTCGCACGGTTTTTTTAATTCGTGTGTTTTGGAAATTATATTTAGATACAAATTACATACGTAAACGAATTAGCGACATAATAGAAAAACTGAACTGTTTATTTAATTAAAAAATCATGAGTGCAATTAGTTTATTTTAAATTTTCTTGTTTTTAAAAAATACTAAAAAAGGGCTCGAAAAAATAGATTTTCTCAAAAAAGAAACGAACTTGAAAAAAAATAAAAAAAGTCGGTCGCTCGTCTGGGCTCGAACCATGTTATTACGATTTTGTGACCGCCCAATATACCAATTAAGCTATTTGTAATCATTAATAAACTGTCAAAATTTACCTTCTTATTCTAACGATATTGTAGCAGTTTTTCATTGCCTAAAAACACGGACAAAAAGACATTTTCTAAAAATAAATCCTAGCTAGATCGATTTATTGCCCCCGAAACTCCCTGCACACAAAATTTTATGAAAATCGTTGGAGCCGTTTCCGAGATTCCGATTAAAAAAAAAAAAATATATAAAAAAAATGTAAAAAAAAAAAAATATATAAAAAAAAAAAAAAAAAATATATATATATTTAAACAAGAATTGCTCGTTTAAAGGTATAGGATATATAGGTACACAATAATATTGGAAAAGTGTTCTTTTTAAAAAAATTTAACTTATTTTTTTATTATATCGTTTACAAGTGGCCAGTTCTAAAAACTTTCAGTGTCGCACTAGTATGAATATAATAATGTTTAAAATCATTATAATAAAATAAAATTATTGGCTATTACATATTTTAAACCGTGTTAGAAGAATATACAATACCCCATATCGTCCCGTGTGTGTTGTAAGAAGCGACATAGGGAAACTGAAGGAGGAAATGCGCAATTAATTTTTCTAGTGCTAATTAAAAATAATAAAATAAACTGCGATAATCACTCCGTATGGCAAGCGTAGCAGCTATAGTTCCCCTTATGAGGCAAACTATGGGGAGGCCTCTGTTCAACTTAGGACTTTTATTGGCTGTAATGAATAAGTGGATGGATGGCTATTACAACTGTACCAACTCTCGGCGGCTGGTTGATAATTCAGATATTTATCTTAAAAAATAAACTATGGCTGCAGCTGCAATCAGACCGAGGAAAAACGTAAAATATCAGTCTAATGCATGTTTCTTATGGTGTAGAGAATCATATACCCTATTTACTCTTATCAGACATGTCATTCTCACGGATGACAAAGCATTTGCATTTTAATTTTTAATCGAATATAATATCTATATCTGATTAAAAATCAAAATGATTAGGTTTCTATGGGCCACAATATCCAGTTACTATCAGATTTTTTTATAGAAGAGAGGGCAAACGAGCATGCGGCTCACCTGATGTTAAGTGACTACCGCCGCCCATAATCAACCGCAACACCAGGGGACTTGCAGGTGTGTTGTCGGCCCTTTAGAAATGTGTAAGCTCTTTTCTTGAAGGTCCCCAGGTCGTATCGGTCCGGAAAAATCGCCGGTGGTAAACTATTCCAAAGAGAGGTCGTACGCGGAAGAAAACTCCTTCTGAAACGTACAGTGGTGGGCCGCCAAGCATCCAGATGGTGTGGATGGTATCGGGACGTTTGCCGCGTAGTGCGTTCACAAAATTTGGTGGCTGGGATTAATCCGAACAATTCCTCAGAGCACTCCCCGTGATAGATGCGATAAAATACGCAAAGAGATGCAACATCTCTTCGCAGCGCCAGTGAATCTAGCCGATCGGAAAGCACTCGGTCGTCGACGATTCGAGCCGCTCTGCGCTGGATGCGGTCAAGTGGAAGGAGCTGGTAGTGGGGAGCCCGAACCTACAGGTGGGAACAGTATTCCATGTTCAGCTGAACTGAACCAGCGCCTTGTAAAGTTGCAGGCGGTAAGCCGGCATGAAATACTGTCCTGCTCTGCTGAGCTCGCCAAGCTCTTTAGAAGCCAATTTGGCCTTCTCTACCAATTGACCACGAAACTACACGTCACTCGATATGTCGACGCCGAGGATTCCGATACTGGCTGAGGCAACAAGGGGAGTGCCTTGAAACTGAGGAGATGCGAGAAAGGGGTTCCTTTTAGCGGTTAACGCGCAAACTTGTGTCTTCTGGGGGTTAAACTGGACTAGATTTAGTCGACCCCAATCCCAGACTGTTCAGCAAAGACTCGACTTCGGACACAAGTTTGTCCCGGTACTCGGAGACGTTTTCCCGAGAAATATTGGCACGACCGGTGTAAAGAGCATCACTAGTGCTGTCATCTGCATAGCAATGAATGTTACGGGTTTGCAACATATCATTGATATGCAAAAAGAAACAGTGTTGGTGATAGATAGCACGCAGACTTGTGAAACACCAGCATTAATATGCTTGTAATCGGAGCTTGCATCGTCTACAACGACCTTGATGCTCCGATCTGCAAGAAAGCTGGTGATCCAATTGCGTAATTTCTCGGGAAGCCCATAGGAAGGGAGCTTCCGTCCTTCCGGGAAAAAGCCGTCTTACATGATTTTGGGACTACGCCTAGGGAGTAGGAGTACCGGAAAAGACGCTTTAAAATCGGTGCCAACTCTGGAGCACACATCCTCAGCACAAATGGGGGGATTCCGTCAGGCCCACTCGACTTGTGGATGTCCAGGGAGAGGAGTGCTTTGCAAACCAAGCACTGTATGAACAGCACTTCCGGCATGGAGTACTCACACCACGGGATGGTCGGTGGCGTACTCCCCCCGTCATCGAGAGCCGAGTTGGGCGCAAAGAAAGAGCCTAGCAGATCGGCTTTCTCCTTTGAGGTATGGGCCGGTGAGTCGTACTCCCTGAGCAGAGATGGAAGAAATGGCTGACAGAAATTCCCCTGGACAGCCTTGGTAAGCGACCAGAATGCATGGGTTCCAGAAGGAAGGCGAACTAGTTTCTCGCTAATTCTGCCTATGTGCTCTGACTGGCCTTGGCAATGACTCTTTTGAAGGACCTAGATGCGGAATTATACTTACTATTTAGAGTGCTGGTGCTTACATCCCGGGACGCTGATGCGTCCCCCCAGGCTTGGTAGCACTCCTGCTTATAGCATGATGCTATTTTAAAGGAGCGACCAAACCTTGGCTGAGATTTGCCTCCGATGAGCACCACAGAGGTAGGAATAAAAAGTTCCATACCCTGAAGTACCACATCAGCGACAGAATCCGCAACAACGTTGGGATCATCCGGCGAAAAGCATACCCTCCCCCAAGGGTAGGATGCAAAGAAAGACCGCTTCCTATACCTATCGGCTGACCTATAGTGCCAAACACGGTGGCAGCCTGCAGAATGCAACTGCGATTTCAGCGTGAGTGGCATCACACTCCGGGGAAGTCCGAGGAGCCTAAAGGGTCGTCAACGTAAATCTGATATCCGTTTTCCACATCTGGAATCCGCGTAGGCGAAGTAACCAGTTGTGTCAGACCACATGCCAAGTCAAAATCTTGAACAGATCTTCCCGCATGATCGGTTAAACGTGAGCTAAGCCATTCGGCGTGATGGGTGTTAAAGTCGCCGAGGATCACGATCTCTGCGGAGGGGATCTGCTGTAGCAACGATTCTGCAGCCATTTGGACGTGGTCGAAGAGTCGGTCTGTTTCGGCATTCCCGCTATGCGACCTATAGAGGCGCCCGTAGACGCGCGGAAGGTCGTCGCTGTATACGCGTAGCCAAATGATGGACAGGTCCGAACCTTCAAGACTGCCGAGGCGTCGAGAACAGATGTCTTCTCTGACGTAAGCGCTAATTCCAGCCCAAGGCACAAAGGAGTGTTCCAGTTTGTACCCCGGGCAGGAGAGATACGAGACATCAGCCGAAGAGGACACCTGTGTGTCTCTGTCGAGCAGAGCCGGACTCGCCGTCTCGAGCTGGTAGTGGACGGCGTTTAGGTTAATTCAGTAGGCGTAATTCACGGATAGCGTACCAGGGGTCGCCTTGGTCTTGTTGCTCCGTTTGCCCCTAGCAGTTGTAGTCTTGAGCGGTATCCACCCCCCCCGAGCTACACTTCACACCGGTATTCTGTGAGGTTGTGGTACCACCCGGTTTGAGCCGGCCCATACGTGCAACAGCAAAGCTGTCGCGTAGCTCTAGACTGAGCGTGGATAGACTGAGTGCTCATTTACTTTTCTTTATATCCAATTAAACCAAAGTAATTTTAAATGACTGAAGTAATTTGATCTTGTCAACAGGTTTATGAAGATGCAGAGAAGGATACTACAGACACGTAGTGCTTTACAGTACTTTTCCTCAAATTCCTGGCAGATGAAGTGTCAACGCACTCGGGATTTGTTTGCTTCATTGTCAGATTCAGATCGTCTTAAGTTTCCTTTTGATCCAACACTTTTCAAATGGGACGAGTATTTACCAATCTATTGTATGGGAATCCGAAAGTTCTTATTCAAATTATCCTCACGAAATTAGATCAGTCGTTACGTGAACGATATAAAGGTATATAAGGTAATATTAAAACGGTTAGTTTTAAACGAATGCTCATTTTTTTTTGGATATTTTTTAATATTTATACAATTAAGAGCAGAGACTGGCTGCGTGCACAGGAAATGTTAATTACTTGTACTTTGCGACATCACCTTTTAATATATAAAACTGCAAGGAAGACATCACAGAGTTTTCTTTCACTCGTGCTGCACAGGGAGGAGACTGTGTGATTTCTATCTACACTGTCTATCTTTCACACAGTTTCTTATATGAGTCATTTGAAAAATTGAGTGGTGGTCCTTAAAAATATTGTCAATAAATATATTTTCTCCATAATTGAACTTTTTAAATTTACTTATATATATATATATATATATATATATATATATATATATATATATTTTCTACATAATATGGTGCGTGTTGCATCAACTACAGTCTAGCAGTTAAAATGGGAGCACATGTAACATCAGGTCGATGGGCAGGGGCATTATCATTATGAAAAGCACTCCAGCTTGCAATTTACCTTCCTCGACGTTAACTTTTTATTTCTTCGCTAAATTATACGTAATAATTTTTGGTTATCTTTCCTTTCCTTAAGTAGTCGATTATTATTATAACTTCCGCATCCCAGGAGACAGAGGCCATTATTTTCCCAGCGGATGCAGACACCAAGATTCTCATGACTGGCGGGGAAATTGAGATGTCGTCTCTGGGTCAAAATGTGTACCCACATTTTATCTACGGTTCCGAATGGAGTGCAAAAAGAATCTGAATATTCTTCAATTATTTCTGTATTTAAATTTGAAATGTCAACTCTTGCTTTCTTTTGGGCGTCTGTTAACACAAGAGAAACCCTGCGTGCGGCCACGTTTTACAAGTTTATGATTTGAGTTTAAATAAACTGAATTATTCCAAACGAAAGCTTCAGAGTCTCAGCTAAATAAGTAATAGTGACATGTCGATCTACCTTAACATTTTTTTCGATGTTTTTAATTGTTTTTTTTTTTGCGTAGCGGCCGTTATTGATATCCAGAGTGAGACTTGACATTGCGCGTGATTCAGCCGTTAAATTCAGCGCAACAGTATACTGCTGTAGAATGAGACGGAGTGTTGTCTACCAAAGTAGATTGCGGTTCTTCCAAAATACTGTTTCTAGAACTTTTTTCAGGCAAAAATACTTAATAGCCGCACGATTTCTAAGTTTTTCCATTTAGCATACGAAACAAATTTCCACCAAATATGAAATTTGAAAGACAAAATTAGAAATAGTTTTAAGATTAGTTTTACTGGCCTTAGCTACTTATGAATTTAAAATTAGAAAAAAATAAAACGAATTTCTATAACTCGTGCATAAATCACCATCACCTCATTTGTTTTCAAAAATAACGGAAACCATTATTAACTGCCAGCTCATGAGGTACCTTGAAGACCAATAGCTGACTAGTGACTGCCAATACGGTATACGTCGGAGTCGATCAGCTAGAGATCTTCAGGTCTACCTGATTTATAGATGGGCGGAAACAGTAGAGTCCAAAGGGGAAGCATTGATCGTCAGTTTGGACATAGCGAAGGCCTTCGATCGGTTTTGGCACAAACTGCCTCGCCTCAAGCGAAACACACTGAAGCCTAAATCACGCTATCAAAATTCAGAATCATAAACAGTATATATAGAATATCTCCGAATTATCACACGGAGTGTTGGCCGCTCCTCGGACAGAACACCTTGCCCGGCGGGAGATCTCCCCTTTTCCTACCGCGGCCACAGTGGTGACCACGACGTGATCTGAACACGCAACCAACAACCTTCGGAAACTTCAAGCTTCATCATCGTCATATAATACCCCACCCATTCGCTCCCGAGCAGATATCGTCTGCAGTCGTCATATCCTGCAAGCCATCTAGCTTCATAAGGTTCATGGCAGGAATAATAATGCTTCCTGTTCCTTCATGCTACTCTCTGCGCTATACAGTGTGCGTGCAGCACGGCTCTGAGCCTTACTGCTCGTCTCTGCTTCACGGCACTCTCGCACATTCCTTCTTCTTGACTCACCGCAGACTACAAGGCAATCTCCTGTCACTTGCACATTCGTCGGCAAAGAGGCTGCACTATTGACCTCCGGTCTGAGCAGGGGGGTGATGTGGCGGCGCTGTCGTCGCGCCGCAAGCGAAACACACCGAAGCCTAAATCACGCTATCAAAATTCCGAATCATAAACAGTATATATAGAACATCTCCGAACTATCACACGGAGTGTTGGCCGCTCCTCGGACAGAACACCTTGCCCGGCGGGAGATCTCCCCTTTTCCTACCGCGGCCACAGTGGTGACCACGACGTGATCTGAACACGCAACCAACAACCTTCGGAAACTTCAAGCTTCATCATCGTCATATAATACCCCACCCATTCGCTCCCGAGCAGATATCGTCTGCAGTCGTCATATCCTGCAAGCCATCTAGCTTCATAAGGTTCATCAGGAATAATAATGCTTCCTGTTCCTTCATGCTACTCTCTGCGCTATACAGTGTGCGTGCAGCACGGCTCTGAGCCTTACTGCTCGTCTCTGCTTCACGGCACTCTCGCACATTCCTTCTTCTTGACTCACCGCAGACCACAAGGCAATCTCCTGGCACTTGCACATTCGTCGGCAAAGAGGCTGCACTATCGACCTCCGGTCTGAGCAGGGGGGTGATGTGGCGGCGCTGTCGTCGCGCCGCAAGCGAAACACACCGAAGCCTAAATCACGCTATCAAAATTCCGAATCATAAACAGTATATATAGAACATCTCCGAACTATCACACGGAGTGTTGGCCGCTCCCGGGCCAGAACACCTTGCCCGGTGGGAGATCTCCCCTTTTCCTACCGCGGCCACACGTTTCTTTCGATCCCTTCTTATCAGCTTTTCGAGAAATTGTGCAATCGGATCATCAGTTTCATTGCTGATTTGACTGTGCATGCTCTGATTACAAGCCTTTTAACGCTGGTGTTCCACAAGGCTGCGTGCTATCATCAACACTGTTTCTTCTGCATATCAATGATATGTTACAAACAGGAAGAATTCATTGCTATGCAGACGACAGCGCTAGTGATGTTTTATATACCAGCTGTTTCAATATTTCTCCAGAATACTTCGCCGAGCACCAGAACAAACTTGTGTCTGAAGTCAAGACTATGTTGTAAATTTTCGGGTTGAGGGCGAATAAATCTAGTCAAATTCGTTCCTCAAATGACACAAGTTTGCACGTTTACCGCTAAAAAAATCCACTTTCTCGTATCTCCTCAGTTTCAAGGCACTACTCTTTTTTGAATGTTTGCGAGCAGCTATGCAATTCGAGAGATAGACCAGTATCACCGCCCTAAAAGATCTATTGTAATCGCTGCTATGGTTATAGTTCACTGCTATTCCCTACGTCGTAAGGAAGTTAAAAGGTAAGGTAAGGAGTTAGGCGAATCTTACGTTAGGGAACAGAACCGGCACATCCTAGAGTTGCTTAGTGCCAGGATGGACATATGCTTTTTTAAGTCAACAGTGTCCAGTCAGGGCTCTTGCCAGAATGCGCAATTTATCTAAAGACAGATACAAAGTGATTTGTTCTGATAAATAGTTTCGAGGGTCAATTGGGCAAGGCTACTTGAGATTACACATAATGGCTTGGGTCCAAATTGTGTACGCTTTCAGCCCTCTCAAGCTTGCTTATCGGCGTTGCCCAGCCGAAATATTAAGAAAAAAATTGGTGGGATTCTTTTGAACTGATTTTAAAATTATCTTAGTTTGGAGCTTCATCCTAATTTTAATAAGTATAAATTTAATAAACCACACATTGCTCCAACTCAAATAGTATTAATATAGGTATTTGTATACTAGTTACGTATAATTTGTTCTTAGAAACCGATGAAGTGCATAGATTAATATAATATTATATTGAGCAAACAAAATAACGTCAATATGGGCTAAGAAAATTTGAAAAAGTAAGAATACAATTTATTTGATGGATTTTTAATTGTAATATTTTAATATATATTTAAAGAATATTAAATTGTATTTATAATTTTATTCAGAAGTTTAATGAGTAAATATGGAAATTATATCAGTTGTAGTTAAATTATTTAATAGTCTTTACCTTCCCTCGGTTCGTAATCAGCAATGGTAATAATCAAATGCCTAGCAACTTATATGCTGCTTTTCGTTACTCAACGAGTAAAGCTTTGGTCTCTTGTTCGTAACTTACAACGCTTCGGTATGTCGCATACGGTGCCAGACACATAATCATGTGAAAAACGTGTAGAATGGTCTCTTGTTCCGTCGCTGTATGCGTCAGCGGCGAAGGTCCAACGCGGTGAAGTGGGGAGCGCGTACACCGCACTGCGCGGCGTCGTTCTTTTTGCGACACTGCGGTATGCGTCACGGGTTGACAATGAATTTGTTTGAAGATAATTTAATAGAATTAATGCTTCTTTGTCTTTTCAAAAGCAGTAGAAATTCGTCTTCCTCCTCCTCAAGTTAAGCACAAATTTCAAAAATATTGTTCATGTTGACACGTCTGCTTTGGTAGCTGCGGCAAAATCCACTTCTCCGCAAAGATGCTAAACGCTGCGTCATGACGCTGCATTTGAGCCGCGTACCACAGCGTTGTGCGTTACGATCAAGAGACAAAAGCTTTAGATAGAATAATTAAGGAGTATATAATTAAATTACGAACGTCATTACGAACAAGCCGGTTTCCGAAAAGGCTTTAGTAACATAGACTACATACATACCCTGCGGCAGATTGTACAGAAGTCCGTAGAGTACAATCTGTAACTTTTCCCGGCGTATGTGGACTATGAGAAGGCCTTTGATTCCGTCGAAATTTGGGCGGTGCTACAGTCTCTTCAGCGATGCCAAGTTGTCTGTCAGTATATCGAAGTGCTGAAGTGTTTGTACAGTAGGGCTAGGATGGCTATCCTGCATATTATGCATAACTGCGGAGAGTTTTAAGACAG